GGGGAGTGAGTGAGTGGGTGAATGATTGACGAGTGATGTGAAATCAAAACGGAGAATCAATGAGCGAATCAGTAAATTTCTGACTGGCTGGCCGACAGGGACCGAGTGACTTGGCGACCGAATGGTCTCATTCACTGGGAAGGGTAAGAGAGAAAGTGAGAGACAGAGTGAGAGAACAAAAAACACCAGGGAAAAAAGAAGAGGGAGAGAAGCAAACAGAGAGTGGGCGGAGTCAGCAGCCGTTGTGTTGCCCACGGCCCCAGGTTCGCGAACGCACTGCTGGAATCCCACGAGCGCCTGGAGCGGCAGTACCAGCAAGAGGCCCGGTCTTGGGTTTAAGGTTCATTAAAAGGAAAACTCCAGCATGAACTTCCCCATATACCCTAGTCCTCCAAGGTCCCTGGGAACCAGGGCTTTCGCGTACAGCCTCGGATCACCCGATGCAAGGGACCCCTCTCACGCCTCCCTGGACTAGTAGCAGATCCAGCACACCCGCGGTTTGCCAAGGGCAACATTGAAACATTCCTGAAGCGAATGCCGATCCGAATAGAAGGGTAGAAGCACCATCCTTGAGACTCACAAGGGCCAATCAAATCTGCGACACAGCAGCAACCACGAAGCCCCTGAGTGAAAACCTATTCAAAGCCTTGTCCTCAAACTACGACAATAAAGCCTGAACACGAAGCTGGGTTTCGACATACATCTCCAAGCACTCAGGCAGCGTGGCTTCCGAAACTTGAACTCGGAGCTGAATCCTTTACCAGAGGCAGTCTGAATGAATCCGAATCCTAAGCTTGGACCCTCCAACCCTGAAGCTCAAAGGGCTCTAGACATCGCCGCCGACAGCGGAGCAACGTTGAAATGACTGACAAAGGCAGCATATTGAACTTGGGCCCATTATCTTTACATCAAACATTCCAGGCCATGTCAAGCGTTGATGGTTTCACTCTAGATTCACGGTATTTGGGGTCCTTCTCACGGTGCTGGGAGGCCTTGCGGTCTCAGCACATGCTTTGCCTGATGTCCCGAAGATACTTGAATGGGGAGAGTGACCAGTGAAACACAAATTTGTTCGCCAGCGTGCTCATGTTCAACGTTCGGACCGTTGGTGCCACATGCACATACGGGCGGCTAATCTGTTACCACCAGAGCGAACAACAAGAAGCCTAGTACTTCTCGAGCCTAGAATTGATTTGTTGAAAGCTTCTACAAGTAAACGGCAGCACGTACGAGAGTAGTACTAAGTAGTAGTTTTCGTGGATACGAATGGTGAGCAGCCGGCGGGTTTGATGTTTACATGGCTCATAGATGCAAGCTTGGCCTGGAGATGATCAATCTTCAGCGCACGCCATTCCCACAAAACACCTAAGCCCTTTGTTCTGACCCCCTGTCCAGCGCTGCTCGTCTCTATCTCCAACCTGCATCTTGCCTTCCGACCCCGGCAAGGACAAAAGAACGCACCGTAGAGACTTGATCTTGCCATGGCAATTCGTCATGGAACTCTTCTTTTTGTAACTTTTTTTGACTACCTGTCTATCTATTTGTTTATCTGTCTACCTATCTATCAGTCTACCTATCTCTGAAACTGTCTATATACTAGTTTGTATAGTGTTTTATGCATACAAAGATACATTCAGGGTTTTGACACTCGGGGTGCGCAGGTCTTCAGCTTAGCATTGGCTTTAATGGGAGCCCCGGCCCCATGTTTGCGAGAGTTCTCAGCGGAGTTCTCGCGAATTTGCTGGTTTTGCTTTCTCCCGGGACCCCTGAATCGGGTTCGAAGCTTCCCGTCCTATGCCATTCTCACACATCGCAGCTTTGATGCCCCAACTTTCCACCACGTTTAACCACATCCGTCGGACTTTCGCACGGCTATGTCTTCACTTTGGTGCTGTTGCATGTCAGGCCACTGGCAGCGCCTTCTGGTGAATTTGGCTCGGCACACATCGAAGCAGATCTTGTTGGAAAAAGCTGTGATGGCCACAGAGATATATCATTATGTTTTTACACAGGTAGCAGCGACTGCTTGTTGATGCGGGAGAATGACGAGGTACATGGCTCTAGCTTCAACAGTTGTTCATGCATGTCGAGACCTTTGTGACACCAGGCGGACCTGTTTTGAGTTTTAAACGAATGGGTATGAATATTTCATTTGCGATATCATTTTTTGTATACTCGAATTTGGGGATGAGTCTAGGATATTCTCGGATCAGTATGTGTTGCAATAAAGAAAACGTGTGTATGCCGGCCTGCGTATATGCAGTCAGGTGGGTCGGTAGGTAAGTGGGTTGACAGGCAGAGAGGCATGTAGGTAGCAGGTAAGTAGGTACAAGTAGCTAGGTAGGTAGGCAAATAAGCAGTTAAATAGGTTCAACGTTGAGACCTTCAGCAGCAAATTCATTTTCACATGTGAGAGTGTAAGTTTAAGGCCTCAGTCCCGTCCAGACGTCGTCGATACTTTAGTTCAGGGTTTGGGACGAGTGATAAAACATCCCGAAGCTGCATGCAGCTGCTGCTTTCCGCCTGAAAGGTTGTCACACTGATCCTTGTGGCAGTGTGTTGCACGTCGACAATTTTCATGTACATATTCAGCAGTACTGGGGCTTCCATTCGGCGAGGAACGGGGCTGCCAATTGTTTGGGAATCTACACAACGACAGATGAAGTGCAATCTTGTTGCAAGCACAATACAGTTTGCTGCAAATACCTCCATGCCCAACTTTTTGGTCATTGTTTAGTGTTTGGGATACCATGTCTAGCACTGTCGTCACTTCGCTGACGTTTCCTGCTCAGCTGCGCCTCCGGCTGACACTCGACCCTTTTTCCCGCCGTGGAGACGCGGCGATGGCCCTCTTCGGTCAGGTCAGCATGTAGAGGCCCGACATGTCCAGAAACAGAACCTCCCACAGCAAGAATGGTAGCATGATCCCAAGGACTGACACCATGTGGTTCACACAACAGATTTGCACTGCCGACAGTTGCAAGCCGCAAACCGGCAATCTTTAAACCTGACCACAAGACCCGTCCCAAAGCAGATTCAGAACCCAGCGTCCGGCTAATGAGAGGCTCTGGGTAAGTAAGCCTTGTCAATGTTCCGACAGCCCGCAACATAGCGACACTTGAAAGATCATGACACGTAGGAGGTGCGACAGGTTTGTAAATGCACACTGTCTGGGCGGAGTTGTACGTGGTTGTCGGGCTTTGGGACTAATTTCACTATGCTTCATTCACCGTCCAGCTGCTGAACCCTTAGCCTATAAACCATTCAATCACTGCAGCAGGTGCTGGTCCCGTTCGATCTTTTGCTGCTGGTGGAGCCTCCCGGCTTTTCAAGTGTGGGGCCACGTCAGGGTAGCTACCTGAGTTAGGTTGAAATATTGGGCCGCCTGACGCATGCGGCATATGTCATTTATAACCACGACCCTATACGGGACTGGTTTAAAGAAAACCATATGTTCACAGAATGCGCAGCCTTCTTACTAATACCTTTAAACCTTCAAGTGGGAGGGTCCGGACCAGGGAGCACTGTGAGGCGATTTTCTACGGCTCGACTCTAGCACATCCCAAGTACGGCATTGAGGCTCTCTGCACGGAATCCCCAAACCCAAGACAAGAAACAGAACCGTCGGCCGGGTTAGGGATGTGGAATACAGGTTAGCGTGAAGGAGTCTGGTGCGGGAGCTCTGAAGCCGCTTCTGACGCCCCAAAGTATCCCAAAGTGATGCTACAGCCAAAGACGACCCTTCAGGATTTAGGGTTGAAGCTTACGTTGGTTTCTTTCAGCCCGCCATCCAAAAACTCACAAACCCTGAACAGACCTTGAACCCTGCACCACTCATTCTGAAGTTCCAAATGCCAACACACAGAGCAGTCAGGAATATGAGATGTGCCGGGGGGCCCATCATGGCCAGTTTGCCAGTGGCTCAGAGTTTAAATGATATATACTATATACGTGAAGAAGAGCACAAATATAGTTTGGGAAACTTGTTAGTTTCGTTTATGGCCCTACAGAGATTCCTATTCAGAACTACTTTCGGGAAAAGTACAACACAGCTAGGCAGGTTTGCAGTCACAATATATGAATATATAAAATATATATATATATATATACATACATACACACGACTATGAACTTACGGTGGTTTTTGGCACAGGTAGATCCTTGCCGGAAGCATCCTCCTGCTGCCTTGCTTTGTGATTTGACGCTTCGAAGGTCTGGGCTTCGAGATTGGCATTCGAGGCTGAGCTGTGATCAACGATGTACAGTCAGAGTTTGGAGTTAAAGGTTGAGGGTTTTGTTCCGACTCCGCAGGCGTAAGCCTAACCTACCCGCACCCCAATGCATCCCAAGTTCTTCGCAGTATGTCTGACCTTCAGGTTTTCTGTTGGTTTGAGGTTTGGGTGTTTTTTTCGGATGGGGGGGGGGGACTTCTCACATTGCTGCTATCCGGGCCCAGGTATTTGATCAGTACGTACTTTAGACCCCAACAACAGAAAAAAAATACATTTTGACACAAAAAAAGAGATTTTTGATCCCAGACTCCCTCGTACAACTCCTAGAGAACTCTTAAACAGGACCTTCAATCGAACATTTAATTAGGTTCTATGCAGTCAATAGTAAAATCTAACCCTTTCCGAACCCTGGTCGAGCCTGGATGGCCTCCTTTTCCGTTCCTTAGGGTTTTGCGTCCAACGACGAGCTACTGTAAGGAAAAATCATTAGAAGGAACCCATAAGGTAGGTTTTCTGTGATCAAAGTATAGATCCTTCTTGAAGCCTGCGAATTATTCGGCCCTAGAACGCTATACAGAGAACATTAACTCTGAACCCTACCCAAAGCCCCAACCTTTCGCCTCAGAACCCCAAATCCCGCAACCCGAACCCCTAACAACCCTCCGCCCCCCCCCCCTCCGCCCCCAAACCCCTAAACCCCTAACCCCCAGAGACTTTGGAGCCGTTTCTGTTACGGGGGAAGCGGACGAGGTGTGATCGGAGCTAGCCATGGTTGCTACGCAGGCCAAGCCGTCTCTCTCTTCCGGGTAGCGAAGCAGAGGTTTAGGGTTTAGGGACAGGGCTAAAGCTTTAGGGGTTCGGGGGTAAGCCATTAAGGGGTTTACGGTTTTAGGGTAGCGATGTTGGGTTCCTGGTTTTAGGTCTCTTTAGAAGTTGGTGCGGGCAGAGCGTGGTAGGGGGTTGGGATTTGGGGATTTGGGTTCAGGGATTTGTGATGAGGCTCTGAGGACTCAATCATTAAAGCTTCTGGGCCGGTGCCTTGTAGACTGTTTGAGTCATCGCGAGCCCTAAGGTTCGGCTTGGTTTGGGATTTCGGAGTTTAGGGTTTGGGTCTCAGGTCGCAGGTAGGCTTTGTGCCTGGCTTAGGTTTTGGAGCGCCGGGGCTTAAGGGCAGTTCGGGAGTCCGTGCACGCAGGCCTGCAAGGGGTGCTTGTCGTTCCTTACTCGTCGTGTGTTCGCAGCTAAACCTGAAGAAAGGGAACGGCGGCACCAACTTGCAAAGAGCATTACAGCCTAATCCCTAAAAGTCGCCTTTTGCTTACAGGGTTATGTGTCATCTAGAAGTCAGAGTCTGGAGCTGGGTCGAGGTTTCTACTGGAAGGTTCATGTCAAGAAGCTGGTTCAAGAGTCCCGAGCCTAACCCTGGTCATGGTGCAGAGTGCAGAGGACCACAAAGGCAGTGAAGGCATCTCCTCATGAATTCTTCCGCTGACAGTTTGGCCCCGAAAGCACGCACCGGAAAGATCACCATGCAAGAAAGCCCCGAAAGACTGAGCTGAAAACCCTTAACAGCCATTACGCGCTACACCTCAAAACTTAAACCACAACGCCGAACCCTAAACCCAAAACCCGAAAGGCCCCTTCAGGGTCCTTTGAATCCTGGCAGGATCAAGGCCGAGCACAGCTTGAAGCCGGTTTGCATCGACAAGCCGGGTCCAAAGAGACGAGTCTTTTACGCAGACCGAAGACAACCCACTGCTTTTCCCCAATCACCCGGCATGAAGGACCCTTAAGGACTTTAGGAAAAGGTACCCGAAAGGGTGTACAGGGGGGACAGGGGGGGGGGATCCTGGTAGGCTTTCGGGCTCAGGGCGTTTAAGGTTTCCGATCTTCTCAGCGGCTCTGGGTAGCAAGTGCCGCTGGAACGCTTTAGGCGTGGATTGCATGTCTCGTATGTTCAGCTGTTATTATTCCACGGTGCTGTTTCCTTTCATGGGCAAACGACCAAAAAGTTTCAAGGAGTTGGTGATGTTCGGGGATCCTCCCAAACCTGGACATTTGGGAGATGCAACAGCGGGGGAGGCCAAGTCTACCGGAAACCTAAACCGCACAGGGTTTACGGCATGAAGGGAGTCAGGATTCCGGACTTTCTCGTTCTGGGTTTTAGGTTTCGGGCTAAAAGTTGAATGTGCACGAACATTTCCAACATGTGCACCGGCGTTCAAGGGTTGACGCGGTTCTGCCGCAGCAGTCGCCGCCATAAATCCTAAACCTAGGCCCATAGACCTTGCTTCCTGGTGTCCGTGCACCACCCAGAAAGCCAAGCTCCAACACTGAACGGCATGGCTGACACGCGAATGTCTCGGGGTGAGGAGTCTTGAGAAAGAGAGGCCTGCATCCCATCAAGCATGACCTATGCAGCCCGTCGGGTTCGTTTGACACAGCTGCCCCTTTTGGGTTACCCAAACCTTCTAGACCGCGGGATTTAGGATTTCATGCCCTTTCTGAGCCACAACCTTCGTAAAGTGCTCCAGTTGCTGAGGCGAGGTCCTCCGGGTGGCACCTGCTTGAATGCAGCTTTGCTTATAAGACAATGTTTAGAATTTTGTCGGGGCTTCAGGATAAAGGCTCAACTGTGTCTCGTTCAGGTAAACCCTAAAGCTTTAATGTCAACACTTCGTCCATTCCCAGCTTTGACTCCGACTGTCAATTGGGCCCGCAGCAGAGCAAGCAAACCACTGCCCGAAAACGGACCCTATTTCGTTTCGTTATCATTGTATATATCCCTGAGGTACCCTCATATGGCAGCCGCGTTAGGCCATGCGTTGCAGGAGATCATGTTTGGGAAAGTGTTGCCGCGTTCCAGCTCAAGCGCCAGTAGGTAAACTCCCACACCGTTTTAGATTTCACTGTTGTCAACACTCTCATCGCATCGTTCCTCTCAGTACCATCAACGCCACCATCGTCCCAGAGTCCCCCAGGCCTCGAAGCCCTAACCATCTTTGCCTGTATACGTAACCCCTGTAAGTTCAAGTCCACACGCACTCATAATGGGTGTTACGTGGTCAGAGGCTCATGAGGTAAAAGGGACGTAGCTTAAGACCTGCACGATCATTTCGGGGTGGCTGGGACCAGTTGTGCTCAAAGATGCTTGCAGGGCTGGGTAGCACCACAAGGTTTAGATCAACAAGGCTTATATGAAAAGAACCCAAAACCTCATTTGTGTTAGTATTTGGCTTTATTTGTCTCTAAAAGGTGTTAAAAGTCGTTTAAAGTTTTTATTTGTATTTTAAAGTTTTTTGTCTTTAAACAGGTTTTTAAAAGTCGTTAATTGTGGTTTTGTCTTTTAAAGTGTTTAATTGGTTTTAAAATTCTCATTTTTGTGAATTATAAGTTTTCGGTTGTGATTGAGTCAAATGGCTTCCTGTTGTTCTACCTGGTTTCCTGCTGTTGTACGGCTACAAATTTGTTGTTTATTTGTGTTTGAAGTTATTATTTCATAAATTTAACTATTTTTGGTTGTGATTGAGTCAAACGATAAATGGCATCCTGCTGTTCAACCTGGCTTCCTGCTGTTCTACGTCTACAAATTTGTTTGTATTTTCGGATCTTTGTCTGGTTCCGTGGCCGTATCTACGTTTCGCGCCGGCTTTGCGACCGTATGGTGTTCGCCTAAGGGAGCAACCTGTATGCCGCACTCAATGATTGAGGTCTTTCGCACCCTCTATGTCTATGTGCATATGCACACATCGCTACTTAGACATAGTTGAAACGTATTGCTGGTTGTCTTGCAGAGGCACGATGCTCATCTCTTGCTAGGCCTTGCGGTGTGCATCATGACGGTTCCCGACGACAAGGTGGCTGCCAGAGATCCACAGCATGGTGCAGCAATGGAGAACCCGCTGTGCTGTAAACGATAGCTCCGCGAAGGCCGCACATGAAGGCCTCATGCAATTTGTCGCTGCTGCCGGCTCTGGACGTCACAAAGCAACGCGCCATCTGTTTTCAAAGGATTTGCAATGCTACGCTCTGATTTTGCTCAACGCCAGCTTGCTGTGGAAGCCCTGGCCAAATGCTCCCGGGGTCTTGGGCGCTTTAACCCAGCTTGCGTGTCTGCAGTTTTTATATGCATCATGGTTGGCGGCAGGTTTTTTCAGCATATTCGAGATTGTCTTACGGTGCTGGGGCTACTCCTTCCTTTGGCTCCGTGGCGACATGCATTGCCTACACTTCGGAGGTTCTGCTGTCTCATCGACTTTCTCACGATCAACTAATTACCTCAGTGGCGTCCGCTGGAGAGCTTGTGAGCACAGGACCTTCCGAGAGCGCATCGGGCGAAGTGCCACGAGGCTGGGGGTTCTGGCATAGGACTGCGCCCGAAGCCTAAAGCCCGGCCCAGCAGCAGGTTTCAGTACGAAACCAGCTCGTTGGCGCCTGGGGCCCCGTTCTGCTCGTCGCCCCGACGACTCCGACGAGTAGAAAAGGAGGCGCGGCCACAATCCAGAAAAGTATTCGTACAGTCCACCGCCTCCATGAGCACACTTCTTCTCAGGAGTGCCGCGGCTCAGTTCCACCTGAAGACTGCTCCCTGTCTGCGCAAGGCTGCACCTGAACAGACTTGCGCTGCAGCACTGTTCTCTCGCATTGCATTGAGGCCAGAGGAGCAGCTCAAGATGTTGCCGGAGGCAACACACCAAGGGCGCAGAGCCAAATGTACAGGCAAAGCAGAGGCAAAGACTGGGATGAGAAGGAAGACGCAGCTCTCTGTTGCCTGGTGTCCCTTCTTTAGCGTTTGTTGCACCCCAACAGTCCACGAGGCGGATGTCTAGACCGTCCATGTTCGACAGGTCACTGGCCATTCCTGGAACACAGCCATGAAATTTGCCGTGGAAGGCAGCCCAGGACATTTGCGAGAAGGGCAACATCCTTGCCGTGCGAGGTGGGGCACGAGATTTGGGACAAGGCATTCGTCTTGCGTGCATCGTAAACAAGCACTGCTGCCAGCGCCGCATGAACCATGCAAACAAAGGAGCGGGTCGGCAGATTTCAATCGCACGTGGTGCTTGCACTTCCGTTTTTGTATTTTGCATGGTAGACTTTGCAAATTTGAAGCACACTGTAAATTTGGAATGCCGACATTCACCCTTGCACCTTTGTATTGGAGACTTTGCAACTGTCAATTTACACTCTAAGTTTGCAACGCCAACGTACACCCTTGAATTGTCGCTTTTTTTACATGGCAGACTTCGCAAATTCCAGGACACCGTAAGTTTGTAACACCAACGTCCACCCTGGAATTTGTGGTAGGCTTTGCAAATTTTGAAGGACACTGTACGTTTGCTACGAATCCCATGTTAAGGCAAGTAAGTCCCAAACCGCGGCCGAAACAATGCTCGCGACAATTAGTAGGGCCGCGTGTATTTTGGCATCAAAGTTGTGCTTCCTCTCCCCACGTCGTGCTCCTGCCGCAGCATTGCGAGACAGATGCGTCATCATCTCCATGCCCCGTCCTGCTGACAAAAGGTGGAAGTGCCAAAAAAGGCTTCCAAGGCTTGCTGTGTGATCGCTTTCACCCCAGCGGGCACACCCCGCGTAGTGAGCCCTATAAGTCTTAGGCATGCCGTGTCGAAACCTCGCCTTCCCTCCGTCTTCCTTACTCCTGTAGCGTTGGAGTGTCATGGCAAGAGTTGGATTACTGGTTTTAGCAGCTGGCAGATAGCAGGTCTTTCACCGTTTGGGTTGTATACGCTGGAATGTTCGTCGATCTTTGGGGTTCTGGTTGAACTGTAGGGGATCTTCTCCCCGCGATGCGAGCAGTTGCCGACTTGTCGCACCCTTTGTCGCTGCAGGGTTTCCCAGCACACCCAGGTTTGGAGCTGCATGCAATAGCTTTCTGCTGATCGTGGAGCCTCAGTCGTCGTGCATTACATCTTGTGTACAAACTGCCCAGCTGTCACGAGTCATTCTCGCCCTTCTGCTTCTATATCGCACGTGTTGTAGTCGATATCGTCGTCCCCTTGAGGTCCGGACTTTCTTCAAATCGGAGACTGGCGGCTTGCTGCAGAGAACTTCAACACCTTCACCGTGGCGCACATCGGTGGACAGGTCCACATTGAGAGGGTCCAAGGGTTGATGATCTAAATCCTGCATTACCCATTATAAGGAATATGCCATAATTTCCATAGTTGAGGGTCATTCAGGTAGATTTCCACTAGGTCTGGGCAGTTCGTAGTCCTACCCGCATCGCAACACCAATAGTTAGATCTCCATTCGTCGTGAGTTCATTCCGGCCTCGACATGCCTTGGGGTCAGGGACTCTAGCATGCTTTAGCATTCTTTGCGACAGCAAAACAGCAGAACACAGTGTGCGATCGACCCAGTGCTGTTTCGCTTGTATGCGAGACCCCACGATCCTGTCTCGACCATATGACCGGCAAGCTCCTGTCGGCTAAGACTTTTGGTTGGAACAGTCTGCGACAGATGCTACATGTGATCCTGGCCAGTTCATGCTCTTTCGACACGAGCTGCCACAAGCAGCATACCACACCCGTGAACGGTTCAGTCAACGGAACAGACGAAGTCAGGCACACGTGAAAAAGCGCGCATGCACGCCCTCACACCTTATGCTCATGACACTGCTTTTTCGAACACAATTTACAGCTTGAGCAGGCTCTTTGTCGCAAGCTTGCTATCTTTGATAATGCCGCACGGGATGACTATCAGTATCCGTTTCAGGCACACCAGTGTTTCTCACCCTGTCAGTGGGTTTCCTGATCTTAAGTCAATCCAGGACAAAAGTTCAAGGTCTCAGCAAGTCCTCTGGGTCCCCCAGCAGCCCCATTGATGCCTGCCTGGTACGTTGGCTCGCTCACACCAGAGAACGACTCCACATGCAAAGATCCCCGAAACGCGAGCACAGAAAACCCCAAGACTCGGGCACCAAAGCATAAGACGTAGACCTTGCACCTGAAGCTGTATAAGCCCTGCACCCGAAAGACAGGTTGTGAACTTTGTGGCGCCGAGCTTGCTTCAAACCAACGCGTCTGTGGCTGCGGTGGTGTCTTGGCTGAAGACCTTCAAGGGAAGAGAGTCGCATGCTTCGTGCCGCAATAGAATCGCAGTCTCAGCCTAAGCTGTTTGGGCCTGGAGGGTCTGCACCCCATGAATTCGTACATCAAGAACAACAGTAACAACGACAACAACAACAACGACGACGCTTCACTTGTGGAATCCAGAGCTTTCGGGTTCCGGCGCAAGTTTCGGGGGGTGTCCGGTCGTGTTCGGGTTGCGGTTTCTGGGCAGGTTTCGGTGGGCAGTTTTCTGGTGTTGAAGTTGTTGCTATCGCAAGAAACGTTTCAGAATCGTGTCCCGCGCGGCTTGACCGGAAGCATACATGCATTCAAGGCAGGCCTCCATTGGACAGGTTTGATGTCCGATGCCGTTCCGCCTGAAACATGCTTGAAACTAGCTTCCAGAAATCCGACCCAGGCTCGAATGCGTTTGTCCAACCTTGGAAACTGTATTCGGAGCTTGCTTAGCTTTTCTGGCGTGTCAAAGGACAACTCTACAGAATGTACAGCTACTTCAACTTATTTGATGCCCCCGAAATGCAAGCCCAACGAAGGCCGTTCAGCTGTTGGGAATACTCAACGGGTTTGCAGTGAAATTCTAGCTTTTTATCCTTTCTAAGCTTTCCTCCTGGGTTCGATATTCGTGCGCCGTCCCTCATCGCGAAATGTCACGTGGAGAACGCTGCGGAGCCGTAATGACGCAGGGCAAGCACCCGCCACTAATAGCACTGGGCTCGAGCAGCAGCATCCATTTGCCTGTGTGTGCGGCAGACAAGCGGAGGCAAGGAGTCCAGAGACCTAATGCCAGAACAAAAACTCGGTGCGTGGAACCGGGACCAACAGTGGCCCGAGTCCTTGCGGATCCCGGCTCCTTCTCAGTGACTTACAAGTCGGAACATGCGCGCATCAGAACGGCAGACGACAAGTCTTGAACTAGGTTTAGGTCCTAGACCGGCATAGGAATTCGAAGCTCTTCCGTTTCCAGATCAACGGCTTGGACACTATGTCGAAGAAGTTTGGGCCTGCGGAATTAATGGTTGGCAAAAAATTAAGATAAATCGCCGCAAACTTACTTCGATCGGGATTACACCTGCCGGGACCCCAGACCCAGGTTCTGCCGAGCATGGGAGTCGAAACGAGTATGATGCTTGATGGCTTTTTTTGGCTCTGCAAGAATAAGCCACAATGCAACAAAATCACAGACACAATTTCTTTTTCGCCATGGGTTCCGGTCAGGATTGCACGAATGCCAACTCGAAGTACGAGCCGGTGGATATGCCGGGTCAGGGCAGGCGGGGTTGCCGGATTGCTACCGGACAAGAGCCCTGAATAAAATGATTAACCCTATCTTATAGTAACCTTATAGATCCCTTTATAGTAACCCTTATAGGATTAGTCATTGGGCCCCCCCCCTCCAAATGAGCTCCAAAACCCTTGAAGACCTCAAGCCGTGAAAGCAAATGCTTACCCATCCCGGCAGCAGTACATGAAAAGCCTCGCCAATAACTGAGTTGTTCAATGAGATCTGAGTTTGGTTTGGCCTTGCGTGGATTGCACTCATACAGATTTGAATCGTACTGTCTGGAGTCACTCATTAACGGAAGCCGTGCCTGTGCAAAACCTTACCTTCCCGAGGCCCCGAGCCCTGAATGGAATCCCTTCAACCCCAATAGGCCGAACCGCACACAACAAGTCAGGCAACTGCCAAAGCGAACGCTCTTTGCAAAGGTGGAGTTCGCAATTTGCAACGCTGGCAAGACTGTCCGTACAGTGCCGTGGTTGATATAAGCTAGGACTGCGTTTTTGCCGGTGTTTGCATGCAATCCACGAGCGTGTGCATTATCCAGTCATCGGTTCTTCACCAGAGACAGCACAGGCGTTACCAATGTGCTCCTACTGTGCTGGAAGCCTTGATAGCCCCAAAAGCTCGGACAGACGAGAATAGAGGAAGGGTGGAGCTGTGACAGGGCGTTTTGCTTGAATCTGCGAAAACAGCTCGCAGCAATGACTGAATGCTAAGGACTGCTAGCGGTAAGGCTATCCCCAAACAACGCAAAGGAGACCATACTCACAGAAGACCTCACAGACAGCTACTAAACATAACCAACCCCGGACCCCACGCGCAACAATATCTCAGCCCCGGCATACACCTCAGGATGTGCACAGGTGATCGGCTGTCGGCATTTCAGCTTTTGGTCGAGTCTTGGCAGAGTACCCTTTCGCGTATCGGCTTTCGCCAGTTTGTGCGCAAGTCACTGTGGAGGTGAACCTGGAAAGACAACCTATTTCAGCCTGGAATGACCTGCAGGTATCTGCAAAACCTGTATGCAGATTGCACTCCCGCTTCACCAGACGCACAATCTCCTGCCTTATCGCTCTCTAAACTGCATCGAGTTTCTTAGATGATGCTCGAGCTGTCATGTAGTAGCATCTGCTGTGGAAGATGTCTGTAGTTGCGTGGCCACGACCCTTCCAAACTCACATTCCACACGGTTTCGAGCCTGCTCAGCATATTCTTATGAATTAGTTACTTAACAGCAAAACCACATTTTGTGACAGCGTAGGCCTTAGAAGATTCTCGGGCATTTGTGATCCGGAGTTTGCGCCATGCCCCCGCAGAGAACCGTCCAGCCATTATCAGGCTTCCCACCGCATTACAGGTCATTCTGATCCCTCAGCTCCTTCCGTGTAAGCTGAGGGATGGCGGCTGCCACTTTCAGGACGGCTGCCCGGCTGGTCTGTGAGAATCACAACAACTATCTGAACAAACCTAACCTCAAGCTCAAAGCCAGCCTAAACCCTGAACATTCAACTCCAAATCCGTAAACGCCCAAGCCTCAAACACAAAACATCTCTAGACCCTAAACTCCAAAAATAGCCGACAGCACCGCAACAAGCGGACCGCATTCTCCGGTCCGGCCCCTCAAAGACTCGATCCTCCTCAAGGGGTTCATACAGGGCGGCCTGTTCTTGATCATTAGGGACGTAGGAACAGGGTTTCTATAAAGGTTGCGAAGAGGGTGCACAGAAGTCTTGCTAGTTGGAATGTGCTTGAAGAGCCCGAAGGGATAGACAAACGTTGCCTCATTTCTCAAGCTTGTATGCTCGGGTTTTGGGTTAAGGCATCGATCATTAGAGCAGTGCCTTCTTTTCCTGGCTTTCCACATCAGCGAGTTGCTGACGGCCTTGCATTTCCGAAGCCCGCCTGTCCCACCGGAAGAAACAAAAGGTAAACGACCAAGGAGCTGGGAAGCCCCAGAGTACAACCCAAAGCTTCTTGGCCAAGGCTCGGCGTACTTGACACCTGACACCGGCGTCGTGTCGGGATCAGGCTCGGCCTCATGGCGTCGTTTGGGGGTATTTTGTGGAGCTCCAGATTTGTTTAGAGGATGTTGAGATGTATGGGGGCTTTTATGTGGTTTGGGGGTTTAGGTTGAGACATCAATCGGTGTTCGATGTTATTGCCGTGCTTTGCAGCACTTTCCTGCAGCAATCCGCCAGGGGTAGCCACTTGTCAAAGCTTCGGCTTCCCAACGAACGCATCTAGCGCATTGACTAGCTAAGTCTGTGTTGCGTGTTCACGTCTGTTTATGTTTTGAGTGATATCTCGCACAATAATACATAGAGTTTTTAGCGGCCTCTTGCCCAGCTCCCTAGCCCCAAGGCCTGCAACTGGCAAAACCAAGAGCCAAGAAGAGCGGGCAAGGTAAGCCGCGCAGCAACCTGTGAACGAGTGCTGAGGTCCTTAAACCTGATGAGTGCAGTGGCTGACCATTTCAGAATCGTATTCCACGTCACTTAATACCTTTGCGAGGTGGCCAGCGGGTCGGTGTGGGACCGTGAGGCCAAAGCGACTGAACAGACTCCGGGCTGGGCATTTATGCTTCTGCACTGAGGAGCTTACTACCCTAAACCCTCAACTCCTAAATCCTAAACCTTTGTTTCAGCAAGCCTTGTTCAAGGAGCTTTTGAAGCTGTGGTTGGTGAGGACTCTACAGGCCCGTGTCGGAATGTTACTTTAACTTAAACTCCAAGAAACCCGACGGATCCGGGTTCAAAGCTGTTCAGAGCCTCCTGCATCGGACCTTGATCCACGCATCGCTAGTGTATGAGCCTGCTTACTACGTAACTTATTCTACCCCGCGACGTATCGTTGTGCCTTCGGCGTTTGGGTCCACAACGTGCGGAAGGGTTCCAACACTCATGCGAAGCTGAACTGGTCGAAACTGCCAAGGAGAGTTCTCTTTGGGGATCGCTTCGTCCAGATTGGCGCCTTCCGGCTGGGTGCGGTGGATCGGACGCACTTCTCGATTTCTCACAGGAACGGAGCTACACTGGTCATCTTCGATCCAATTCTGTAACGGATCCCTTTCCCGTCCACCCGGGGGTGCGCTGGGACTGGGGCTTGTGGGGGAGGGGACACGCGTCTAAGAATCCCGCGCTCTCACCCATGAGCATCACCTTCGGCGACCGCTTCGTGCAGATCGGGAACTTCCGGCTTGGCGAAGTGGACAAAGAGCACTTTTCGGTGGCACACGCCGGGACCGGGAAGACCCTCCAGATCTTCAACAGCAAAGGTCACCACTTCCGTGGCCCCCGGGACGATTTCACGACCTTAGGCCCTTGGAGCAGTGCAAGGCGGGTCCGCGAAGGGAATTGCTTGCAACAGGCAGGGAGGCAGAGTATCGTTTAATTGAGTGTGACTCGTTTCAGGAGATGGAGCCGTGACAAGGCCACTCAGCTGGTGCAGCGATGGGCGGAAGCTTCCTTTTCGACCGGAGACTCGTTGCAGGGCGGATCTCAAGATGAGTTGAGCTTTCCATCGGCGGAGTGCTGCATTAGCACGGTGAGCTGTGCCAGTCCCGCGAAAAGTAGAAAGAAAAGCTGCCGTCGGAGTATCAGAATCATAGGTGTATTGAAGAACGCAGTTGCAAGAGGATTTGCCAGAAGTTCTGCTATGGCAGAGCCAGGAGAAATGCTCGCTCGGAAAGTACAAAGATCTCAGATTAAACCACCGCAGAGCAGTGGTGTTTGCCATGACCGTAGTCGATGCACTTTTCAACTGGCCGCTTGCAGTTGCAGTGACCCTTGGACCAGACTTGATGCCTGCTGGTGTCGACGTGTCAGCCACTTTAAACTTCAGTGAGTGCGCATGAAGCTTCAGGCATTATTACGTGAGCTGAGACCGTAGGCCTTTGGGCTCCGGTACCGATTCCGATTAATCGCAGATCATGGTGTTACCTGAATTTTCGCAACACGCTTGCAGCACATTCGTTGTTGAACGTACATGTTGAACTACCCTTGGCACCGACAACATGTGCGAAACCGTAATTCCGAATTGCAGGTAGGTTGGAACCAGGGCTTCATCGACTAGCTGGCTCAGGGCCTGTCTTAGTTGGGGATCAGCAAAGCTGCATCTCGCGCTGACATGTAGCTTGACTTTGCAGGGATTTGGAAATCGAGAACCGGCTGATAGCAGCCATGGCTCTGTTGGGCAGACTGTGCGGATGTTGCACCAAGGCACCTCGATCACGCCGATGTGTTGAGGAGTTCAAGGGCTGCACACAATGCCTGGACTGGACCTGCTAGTAGCATCCTTGGAAACTTTTTTCGGTCATCCCGTTTATGGGATTGTTAGCAGGATTGGTAAATGCAAACACATACCCTAAAAATAACCGCTGTACCTTGAAACGTGCGCTAGGATGCTTTGGGACTTGTGGGGTGGAGGGGTGGGGTGGGATGCGTTTATGGTCAGGGTCAGTTCTGCAAGGGGTTGGGTCATCTTGCATTTGTATATACAGGTCAGGTTGGATTTTCGGGCATTTCGCATCACATCATCAAATCACCCGAACCATTTTTCCCCACGACGGCAACAGCGGGACTACATCGAGCCCTCCGGGCCCCCCAGGGTGCAGGGTTTAGGGTTTAGAGTATTTGGGTTTTAGCTTAGGTTTTTCGTGGGGTTTTAGGTCAGGTTTTTGTTCATTAGTTAGGCTCGGGTTCTCGCCCTTCGTGGCGTTAGTTAGGCTCGGGTTCTCGTCCTTCGTGGGGTTAGGTAGGCTCGGGTTCTCGCCCTTCGTGGCGTTAGTTAGGCTCGGGTTCTCGCCCTTCGTGGCGTTAGGGTAGGGGTGTTACGGTAGAGGTTGGGGCGTTAGTTAGTTAGTTTTTGGGTGTCGGGTGTTGGGGCAGACATTGGCCTTTTTGAATAGGGTGGGGTCTCGCCCGGGTCGGGTGTTAGGGTAGAGAGCGCGGAGCCGTACCCATGCAGATTGTTTGCACATAGCAGACTGTTTGTGTTTCCTCATTCTACCATCCGGTAGTGTTACACAGTGCAGGCTTCTCCGCCACATTGCAGAAACCCAGGGGGCTTGCAGTCTTACAGTCTTACACCTGCCGGTAACGTCTCGGGATATCGGCGGCAGGCTTCGAGGCGTTTTCAATCGTGAAAGATACGCAGACGAGGTGTAGCGGAGGCAGGCATTTCAAGGAAGGAAAGAAACCATTAAAGTGCCGGGCGGGCGGCATGAGGAGGAGAACAACCGGAAGTCATTGGCTGCATCAGATTGTTCCGTACAGCTTGCCTCCGAAGCCAAGCTGACGGTGAAGAAAATGCAGGTTCTTCGTAGCGAAGCATGCAGTAAGGTAAGGTTTTAGGTTCGAAGCGAAAAAGCCAATCCAGTCTTGATGGTTCAGCTCTTGAAAGCAGGCGCACTGACAGCGTTGATTTTCCCCATTCCTTTTTTTTGTGGCTGACACGTTCTGAGCTTTGTCTGACTACTGAGTACTGCTGTCAAGGTGCTCTCAGCGCCGCAGTCGTGTAGCTCGGGACTTGGTCAGAGCTGTCTGATGTATCTTTAGTGGAGCAGCGCCAACAAGTGTCAGTGCGGCATGTAGTGTTGAGGTTTAGTTGTGGCGAGCGCACGAGTTCCGAATGCCGATGGCTCTGTCACGTTGGATGCACGTAGTTGATTACAGACGGTTCGTATTTTTCCCGCAAAGTCTGCGATTTTGTGTACCTTGTCCAACTTCGCAGTCTCCCTGAAGCGTTGCACCTGCTGGTTTTGGACGTTTGCCATGTTATTGCATGGCAGTCGCAGTCGCAACTTTTTTCGTGTCTGTGTACAAAGGCATGACATGAAGGTGTGCCACAATGTTGGGTGGATCTGCAAATGCAGTACTAATGCAGACCCCTAGAGAATAAACCTTTTCCCTTGAATAGGGATTATAACGGGGATCCTATAGTATCAAGGCATTTCAAAGGAGGGGGGTTTATTAATTGCAGGTCTCCATGACCTTCGAGGTCGACAGTAAGGTTGCTTTCTCTAAACTCCTAGTATCCCCCGCTACTATCACCGAGGCCCTATGGTAGCCCCTTCTAAGGAGTTCAGACGATATCTCATTTGAAGACCTGAGGTCCCACGACAGCCCTTGCGCCAAGCAGGGAGCCTCGGCCAGCCCCTTCGTAGCCTAGACTACTTGGAGGTTCATGGGTAGTTATAAGTAGGGTTATAAGTCCCCTAATATGGGTTACAAGTATAGTTATCCTACTTACAACCCTACGTGTAACTACCCATGAACCTCCAAGTAGTCTGGGGAATTCCGGATTCTAGAGTTTTGGTGAGTAGCTCAGGACTTGGGCTTTGGGGTGTCGGGCTGGGGGCCTCGGGTTTACCTGCGCGGGGTCCTCCGCCACACTGGCGAGCGGGGTCCTTCCGGTGTCCTGAGCGGTCCGGCCCATGCGACACGATACATGCCGCAGCCATGTATGCACGCTGCACAAATCTTAGCCCCACACTACCTCGGTGCTCATGTGCAATGCTGCTTCAAAGATACTGTAGGGTCTGGTGTCCTACCTGACCCGCTCTAAACCTTGGCATCTCCAGTCCCTGGTGCACCTCTTTGTGTCAATGTCTGCTCGGTGTCGTCTTTACCCCGTGTTCCTGCAAAGGCTTTTTGGCAGGTGGTTTATTATGTTTTATTGCCGTGACGCGCTCCCAAGTTCTCTGAAGATGTTACGAAGGATTTTGGACTCTGTAACGGAACGTGTCATCCTGAGAGGTGAAACTAATATGGTATATTATGCTATACCGTTCATGTGATGGGAGCAGCTGGGAAGACGTAGAGCTGAGAGAAATGCATTAAGTGTGGCTGGAAGACGGACTGAACCGGCTGCAAGACATCAAAGATCTTCATGGTTCCCAGTTCCCAGTATATAATGCAAACCTGAAGTCACAACTTTGCGGCCGGAACTTCATAGAAGCAACAAGCATGAATCGTGCTGGCATGTGGGCCGCGTTTCCACATCTCAGACGTAGACTCCATGGACGGAAGCCTCTTGTGATGTTTCGTCCAACGACTGGGCAGGAAATTGCTTCACCTCTTCGGTTTGGCCCCGGTCTCAGGTGCTGAGGGTAAAGGGGTTAGGTGTCATCCGCGGGAAGGATTCCTGGATAGGTTCGGATGCTACAGTCCTATAAGCCTTAATTGTTGAAAGGCCTCTGGGCCTGGAAGCGCCGCGCCAAAAGTGTTGACTTCTCGGTGCTCTGACCGGGCCTCCCTGCTATCTACGATCATTGGCTCAGGCTGCCTCAGACCGCAAGCAGAGACCGCACCTCTTTACTCAAGTTGAGCGATGAGCGGTCCGCTGTGCCACTGTGATCCACCAAAGGCGACAGAAAAGAGGGTAGCTGGGAGCGCGTCACTTGGAGTCAAAGGGAGCTGTCGGATTTTTCAGCTTCTGCATAACACACTGTAGGGTTTGTAAACAAGGGAGCGGTTCTAGTTGTCCATATTTGCCGTACTAAACCCAATTATGGGCATATGATCCAGCAAAAGTACATGTGAGCCCCACTTACGGGTCCCTTTTGGGCGGCACTGTCTAAGGTCGAAGCACCACGGCCGTGAATACTGGAGTTGTTCAACGTGCGACTTCTTCCGCTGGGTGGACCAGCCTGGCACCACCTTATGTGCCGCAGGGCCGCCCTGCCGATGCCTGCCGGTATGTTTTGGGTTCTGGAAGACCATGTACGGAACCAAGAGTGTACGCTGATTCAACAGTCAACCTTGCTGACACCGTTTGCGACTTAGTGTCCTTAGCTTCGGCTTTCTCGCTTCCAGGGCCACCCAGAAGGGTGAGGCGGGGGGTCCTCCCCACAAGAAAGAAGTAGTCTTATCATTGTATGGGGGTTGCTGGCACGCTCAGGATGTGGGCAAGCCAGCACTCTGAAGGTGGCCCGGACAGCTTCCAACAACGGGCGGTCCTTCTGGATCTGTGCAAGAACTGGGCCGGCTGCCTGCAGATTCTTCGAGTGGGAGTCTGCGGACTTTCCCAGTTCCACTCCAACAGCTTCGGACAGAAGCTGCAAGAAGTGCAAGAAAGCAGTGGAGATCAGGATTGCCGGGAAGCACAACCCGAAGGGCAACGCAGGCATCTCCATGTTAGACCTTCCTGCCTCTGCTACCTCAGGAATACCACACATAGGGATCCCTGACGGACACAGCCTTCTTGTATTTGGTATTTCAGTTTTTGGCCTAGCTCGAAGGCGCCCTGCTTTACCGAGACCTGTCTCAGCTGGATACTCGCATATAGGGGGGGGGGGGTTCCCACAAACACAGCCGGTAGTTATGGATTCCATGTAACAAGAAGGCTTCATAAGCCCTATCAAGCATGAACCCTCAAATCTACAGTACACAGATCACAGGAGCAAGGGATCATGATGTGAGGGACCCCCCGAAGCAAGAACTCCGTTGATGCATGCAACCCTCAACATGGCCCAGCAGCCATGCACTAGGCCGAGCGCTGCGTGAAATAGATTCGACTGGATGAAGAGTCTCGCCGGTTGTTTTGTCTTACTTGAGGACCCAGTCTGCTCATAAGTGAAATTTGCCGGTCGTGGCTTAACCGTCTGGTATACACCATACACAGACATACCATGCTCAATCCAGAAGACAGTCGAGACGCCCACTGCAAACTAAACGAAGCCCTTCCTCTCCGGCGAAAGAAAGCTCGAGCCCCACCCGGCGCAGAAGTCATAAGAGGGCGCTCACAGCTTGGTTGGACATGTCGGCATGCTGCTAATGGCTACATTACCTATATGACTACATGATGATGTGCTTCGCATCGCGTTATCATAGTAGAACTAAAGGTACAGTAGAAGAGAAGTAGAAGTATGAGCTAGAGTAGAAGTTGAGGTAGCCATAGAGGTGGCAAAGCAGAAGTAAAAGTACATGTCAAGGTGGTCGTAAAAAGCAGTAGAAGTAGAAGCAGACATAAAATTAGAAGTAGAAGTGTCCTGCAGAAGTAGACGTAGGAGTCGAGAGCAGCAGCAGCAGCAGCAGCAGCAGCAGTAGCAGCAGTAGCAGTGTAGTCGCAGTAGAACCAGTAAGGCAGTAGCGCTTATTGGCCGTGTCTCACGTTGCCGTCTTGTCCTGGAGGTCGAAAATACTACAAATGCCAAGCTTGTAACACCTTCGAGTTCGTCACCGCGGCCAAACCAGAAGCGCCCGATGCCTCCCACGCAGGGAGTGCTGAGTACCTCGAAGCTTAAACTCTACGCCTTTCTGGGGTACCTGTAACATGTTAAGATCCAAGGGTAAAAGGAGAGACCCTTAATAAGGACCCCTACTGTAGGTATATACCCTTAATAGAGCAAATATATACCCATTATATGGCCCATTATAGGGTAGGGGTCCCCATTCAGGGTCCCTCTTTTTCCCTTTGATAAGAATTTGTTTCATGACGAAACAAGTGTATCTCACTCCAAGCAACAACAATAGGACATCAGTCGTCAGGTATGTGGTGGATGAGATCACTCGCAGGCACTTGCAGAGGCCATGGGTCCGAATAGTGAGCCTGCATGTTGCACAATTGTTGTAACTGGAAGGTTTCTAGGCACCAGGAAGAGATTTTGGTGTGAAATTCGGGAGGTTTGCATTGGGCTGCATGAGCATTGTATGGTCCGGGCGAATCGAATTGGCTGGTTATCGTCAAATGCTGAAACAGGGAAAGCTTCTTGCAGGTAGGGTAGCTGATAAAGCAGCTATGTGCTGCAGGCTTTTCGACGTTCCCTTCGGCACCGAGCTTGGTATTGGCCGTGATCAGCAAGAGGAGTCGATGAACTACGACTACCTAAGAGTCGAGTGTGCTTGGCGGGTGAAGAATGCACAGCGGGAGCAGCGCTTCAAGGATTTCAAGCAGAAGCTCCCGGACGTGCCCAAGGATCCCCGAGGGAAATCGATGGTTTCAAAGCTGACAAGTTTCCGCGGCAAATCCCACCCCGATTCGAGTACACCGTGCAACCGCGTTTGATTGCGTTCTAGCTTCCCTGGGTCAGTGGCTCATGCAAATCCGTGGCACGGGGTTCCTAAACCGCCTAAGCTAAACCCATCATATGCTTGCGATGTTGTTCTGGCCCGCTTCTCGGTCTGTCCCCTGACCAGGACTCGAGGATTCAATCCAATCTCTTTGACGCGCAAACTCCTCTCTGCTCCCAGCTGGATGCATCCAAGAACGAGATGCTCCTACTTCATGGGACGAAACCGGAGCATGTGCATGACATCCTCTTCGAAGGCTTAGACCCGCTTCTCTCCAAGGAGGGACTCTTTGGCACAGGGACGTACTTGGCGGAAGATGCTGCGAAGGTAGATCAATATCTCACGAAAGATCCAGAGTGGAAGGGAAATGAGCTTGAGCATGAGCTACAACCCCTGCATAAGAAGCTTTATGAGAGAGGTGTTAAACATGCTACGAACATCTATTATGCCTTGGTATGTCGAGTTGCTCTTGGAGAGGTTGCTGTGACCAAGGACGGGGAGACGTGTGCTAAAACCGGTAAGGCGATCTTTCAGGCACAGCGCCGCGATGCGCTGAAGAAAAGGAGAGGTCGAAGTCTTGTGGCAGAGCTCGGGGGCAAGATCGAACGCTATCGTGAGTTCGTGATTTTTGACCCGGCGGCGTTGAGCGTCGAGTTCTTGGTGGCCTTGAAGCGTGTGCGTCACTACTGTGATTGCGGGCAAACTGCAGTGCAGAGAACAGTGACCAATGGCCAGCCCGAAAACTTTGGGAGGGATATCCTGCTCTGTGCTCGACGTCCTAGTGAAGGTGGGGCATTTTTCGAACGATAGTGACCCTGTTTCTGGACCCATACATAGATGGTTTCAAGGGTATCACAAACTAACGAGCAGTAGTCCAAGCAATGGAACCCCGCGACCCAGGTGGATGTGGATTCGTTCGCATGCTGCCCCAGTGCTACTGTGAGCGGGCTGCCGGCGTCGGCTTCAAGAAGAACGGAGAGAAATACTTCCGCTGTGGATCCAAGCGGGACTTCTGCGATTTCAAGGACGATTCTGTCTTTGGTTACTACTCTAACATGACATCCTCATGTTGCGTAACAGTACTACTACTGCTAGTGCTAGTACTATCAATCGAAGCAGTAGCAGTAGCACTAGTTGTTGTTGCGGTGGTTGTTGCTGTTGTAGGTGGCTCTTGAAATTGTTTCAGCTTGCTTCACGACGTCAGATCGTCCGACGAAGGGCCTTTCCTTCTTGAGCGGAAAAACTAGACTTTCCCGTGCCTGGAAGGACTGGAACTTCCCAGCAGGAAAACGGCAACGTGGAAGCTGATGTGCGCCCGCAGGGCTCCAAGTATGTACAAAGAGCATTGATTTGGGGCTCGAGCCATTACTCCGGGCAATTTGGTGCTCCAGTCCTCGCCACAGGAGGACGGTTTGTGCGGCGACGTCCGGTAGATCAAGTGGGCATGGATCAAGCCCTCGCTACTCGTCTCCATCTGCTTGATGTCTACAGCACAGGATGACCAACATATAATGGGTCTGGGCGATTCTTGGGGGTCCGAAACAGCTTGATCCATGCCCAGATCAGCTTGACATTAAGGGTGAGATGCCGAATTAGTGCAGGTCGAGGTAGTGCTTTGTGTTCAGATAGTCCCAAGAGTCTCGCGGCGCAGACCGCGTTGTACAGGAGGCGCAGCAACTCAGGCCAACAAATTGGCCCGCATGGTTCCATGCGCACTTGACGCGTGGATCTGGATGCATTTTCAGCCCGATGTCGCTTCGCATAAAACTGTGAGTGTCGCCACATACCGGAGGCATGCATCACAGGATGGGATTGCTTTCGCTGAGTGTGAGGCTTGATCTTCGAATCGAAGCAGCTGAAGAACAAAATTATGCAGCCTTGCCCTTGGCGGATTTTCTTGATGCCCAAATCCCAGGAAATCCCATGAAGGCAAAAGCTCCCCGGAGCCCCGGCAACGCTAGTGAAGGTTTAGGTATTTTTCAGCATGAGGTATCATAAATAATACTGTAACCGTGCATCTGTCGCCTAATCTACAGGAAAAACCCTTTCGGTTGTTCAGGGTAAGGACTTTAAGTGTGGGGGTTTGGGGTTTAGAGTTTCTTGCAGCCAGGCATCCGCAGGCCACAGAACCTCAACCCTAGATTTTTGCATCCGGAAGTCCAAGACTCAAAACTCCTCCAGCCTGAACCTTGCATCATTCATTCTGAAGCCACAAATGCCATCAAACAAAGCAGTCAGGAATATGATCTGTGCCGGGGGCCCCAGCCTGGCCAGTTTGCCAGCGGCGCAGAGTTTAACAGGTTAAAGTATGTATTGAAAGAGGAGCACAAGTAGCCAAGTGGCACCTTGGGAAACTTGTTAGTTTCCTTTATGGTCCTATAGGAGTACCTATTCAAAAGTATTGCTGAGTAAATTGCAACACAGCTAGTCACATGCTGAAGCCGAGCTCATTGAGACCTAGACTTGGACCCGAAGCCCCGAAGCACCTTTAAGGCTTCTTAGAGGGGTTAGTCTACTTTTTAGGGCCTCTTACTATGGTTATGGGTGTGTGTGTGTGTGTAGGCAGGCATGTATATGTGTGTGTGTGTGTGTGAACTTGACAAGGTTGGTTTTGGCACAGGTAGACGCTGGACCCCCAAGCCCCTAAGCCCCAAGCATGTTCACTGGAGTGACGGCATTTTTGATGTGTTTGCTGCCTTGTTTTGTGTCGGTCTGGGATTCGAGATTGACATTCAAGGCTGCATATACAGTTTCGGGTTTAGGGTAAACCGTGATAGACAATGTAGGGTCAGAGTGTACAGTGGAGCTTTAGGGTTTTAGTCCCACCATAAAGCCATGAGCCTTACCTACCGCAGCCCAATACATCCCAAGCTCTTCGCTGTCACCCTTTTGTCTGATCTGACTTTCCGGTTGTTTGGTTTGGGGCTTGGAGGGTTTCGGGTTTCAAGCTCATGATGTTAAGCTTGCGTTTAAGGGGGGGCGGAGGCGGCCCAGTAATCGAAATCATATGCTTGGAGGTTCATGGGTAGTTGTAGGTAGGGTTATAAGTCCCCTAATATGGGTTATAAGTATAGTTGCCCTACTTATAACCCTACTTAGAACTACCCTACTTTTCACTACCCATAACCTCCAATTCGGCTCCTGAGGGTTTGGGGTCGAAGCATGAATTATTCTAAGGGCAGCTTTTTGATCCCCTTTCGCCATGTGTTCGCAGCTAAACCTGAAGAAAGGGAACCCCAAACCATGAACCCTTAACCGTCGAAACCCTAAACACCGGTACGAACTTGCAAAGGGCCGTTTAGGGTGTTTTTGCTTACAGGGTTTTGTTACCTTTGGTTAGTAGGGAATGGAAGAATGGCAGTAATAGTAGTTATAATACCCCTTTCCTCCATTCCCTAATTACCAGAGGTAAGTTTTTCGTCATCAAGGCACTTATGGCCCGGAGTTGGCTTCTATATGTGGGTGGTTCTCAAAATCAGGGTCCCTTTTTGGGTCCTTAGTTTAATACGGCACCTATTTTTTAGGGTACCTGAAAGGGTGACCATAATTTGGACAACCACCTATATGTTTCAAACTCAATTATCCATAATCTTACATGACACAATGAAAAACATAGAACTTATTACAATACACACCTCAGGACCTAAGGGTTAATACGATGTTTGTTTTTACGATGCGTTTCTAAATCCGAAGCCCATATTTCCAAGCTTGAAGCGGTCCAGACGAAACCCTTACATGCCTGCGTTTCCCCGAGCCTGTTTCGTAACCTTAGCAAAATGCTAGAAATCCCAGAATTCGGGCACTAAGCCTGCGCCTTCGCTTCCTAGGCTCGGCGTGGAGGACGTATTCTCATAACGGCCGCTGCGGCCACCGAAGGCCGGGGGCCGAGGTTTGGGCGGTTTCGAGATGTTTGAGGTGTCATTACGGGCTTAGGACCTTGAGTTTATGCCTAGACTCTCCAGTGTGGTTCCTTTTAGCTTTTTGTAACTACAATGGAGACTGTAGGTAGGTTTGTTCGGACTTTGAGACTCTAGGATTGGAAAGGGAAGGTTCTTGACAGCGAGGCGATACAAGTAAGTCCTTGTGTTTGCGTCTCCACGGCACGCCGCTACTCAAGGCAAAATATGAAAGCTTGAGCCTTATGATCTTAAGAATCTTCAGAGCAAGTCTGCGTTTCTCGATGCGGCTGTGGGTATAGATTTTGCTCCTCAGAAAACTGTAAGTTTGCAACGCCAGCGTCCACCGTTGAATTTTGATATCTTTGCAAGTCTTTGTATGGTAGACATTGCAACTGTCAATTTACATTGCAAGCTTGCAATGCTAACGTCCACTCTTGAAATTTTGTATCTTTGTATGGTCGACGGCGCAAATTTCAACGACACTGTAAGTTTGGTAGACCGCCAACGTCCACCCTTGATTTGTTGTATCTTGTATGATGCACTTCGCAAATGTCAAGGACACTGTAAGTTTGTAACACCAACATCCACCCTTGAATTTCTGTATCTTTGTGTGGGAAACTTCGAATTTCACGGACACCTCTAAGTTTGTAGCGCCAGCGTCCACCCTTGAACTATAGTATCTGTGTAGGGTAGACTTTGCAACTTACAATTTACTCTCTAAGTTTGCAATGCGAACGTCCACTCTGGAGTCGTTGTATCTTAGTATGGTAGGGTTCTTTAGATTTCAACGACCCTGTAAGTTCCTAATGCCAGCGACCACCCTGGAATATTTGTATATCTGCATGGTAGACTTTGCAAATTTCAACGACACTGTAAGTTTGTAACGCCAACGTCCACCCTTGAATTTTGTTTGTTTGTATAGTAGACTTTTCGAATCTCGCGGAAGCTGTAAGTTGTAACGCCAACGTCCACCCTTGAATTTGTGTGCCTTTGTTTGGCAGACTTTTTTGTTGTTCAAGGACACTGTATGTGGTTGTAACGCCAACGTCCACCCTTGAATTGCTTTTGCATGTTGTTGTATGGTAGACATTGCAAATGTGAATTCGCATTGCAGGTTTGCAACGCTAACGTCCACCCTTGAGTTGTTGTATCTTTGTATGGTAGACTGTGCAAACTTCAAGGACACCGCAAGTTTGTAACGCCAGCATACTTCCTTGATTTTTTGCATCTTTGTACGGGGCAGTACAAATTTCAGGGACGCGCCACTGCGAGTTTGTAACGCCAACATCCACACTTGATTTTTTGTATCTTTGTATGGTAGACTATGCAAAGTTCAAAGGCATTGTGAGTTTGTAGCGCCAACGTCCACCCTTGATTTTCTGTGTGTTTGCGTGGTAGACGTTGACCCTTGATATTTTGTATCTTTGTATGATAGACTTTCCGAAATTCACGGACACTGTAAGTTTGTAACGCCGACGTCCACCCTTGAACTGCAGTATCTGTGTATGGTAGACTTTGCAAATGTCCTTTTGCACTCTTATGTTTGTAACGCCAACGTCCACCCCTGAATTTCGTGTCTTTGTCTGGTACGGGTAGAGTTTGCAAATTTCAAGGACACTCTAAGTTTGTAACGCCAGCGTCCACCCTTGAATTTTGGTAATTAGCTCTGTATGGTAGACTGAGCAAATTTCACGGTCAGTGTAAGCTTGTAACGCCTACGTCTACCCTTGCACTTGTTTATTTTGTTACGGTGGGCTTCTCGAACCTCACTGACACTGTAAGTTGTAACGTCAATGTCCACCCTTGAATTTGGGCACCATTGTTCGGTAGATTGAGCAAATTTCACGGTCAGTGTAAGTTCGTAATGCTATCGTCCACCCTTGAGTTTTGTGTTTTTGCATAGCAGACTTTTCTGATCACGTGGACACTGCAAGTTATTATAACGCCAACGCTCACACTTGAAATTGTTCATCTTTGTTTGGTAAACTTTTTGTTGTTCAATGACACTGTAAGTTTGTCCACCCCTGATTTGTTGTACCAGTGCATGTCTTTGTACGGTAGACACTGCACTTGTCAATTTACACTGCAAGTTTGCAACGCTAACGTCCATCCTTGATGTATCTTTGCATGATGGACTGTGCAAGTCTGAAAGACACTGTACCTTTGTAACACCAACGTCCACCCTTGATTTTTTGTATCTTTGTACGGGATTGACTTTACTAGTTTCAGAGACACGCCACTGTAAGTTTGTAACGCCAACGTCCACACTTGATTCTCTGAATGTTCGTATGGTAGACTCTGCAAATTTCAAGGACACTATAAGTGTGTACCGCCAACGTCGACCCTTGACACTGTAAAGTTGTAACGCCAATGTGCACGCTGGATTTTTTACATATTTTTCTTTTCGGCTTTAAGTTTCAATGACACTGAAAGTTTGTGATGCCACAGCCCCCCCCCCCTTAATTTCAATCTGGTATCTTTGTATGGTAAACTTTGCAAATTTCAGCGACACTGTAAGTTTGTAACGCCAACGTCCACCCTTGGCTTTTTGTATCTTTGTATGGTCCACTGTGCAAAGTTTAATTTACAGTATAAGTTTGTAACGCCGACGTCCACCCTCGAGTTTTTGTATCTTTGTATGGTACGCTTCGCAAATTTCAAACACATTGTAAGTTTGTAACACTAATGTCCACAATTGATTTTTGTATCTTTGTATGGTCAACTATGCAAGTTTCAATTTACACTCTAAGTTTGTAACGCCAATGGCCAGTCTTTTGTTGTTCTGAGCTTGGTAAGGCAGACTCTGCAAATTTCAAGGACACCGGCCGGTTTGTAATGCCAACGTCCACGGTTGAAATTTGGTATCTTGGTATGGTAGACCTTGCAAGTAAATTTGTAACGCCAACCTCCACCCTTGATAATCCTATCTTGCATGGTAGAGTGTGCAAATTCAATGTATACTAAGTTTGTAACGCCAAACGTCCACCCTTGAATCTTTGTATGTTTGTATGGTAGACACTGCAAATTTCAAGAACGCTGAAAGTTTGTGACGCCAACGTCCACCCTTGAGTTTTTGTATGTTTTGTGACCTTTGCAGATTTCAGGGACACCGTAATTCGTAGCGCCAATGTCCACCGTTGACATTGTGTATCGTTGTATGTCTTTCTATGGTAGACCTTTGCAAACTTTAGTTTACATTGCAAGTTTGTAACGCTAACGTCCGCCCTTGGTTGTTTGCATTTTTGTATGGTAGGCATTGCAAATTTCAAGCACGCAGTAAGTTTGAATATTGGAAAGCCAACATTCACCCTTGTACCTGTGTATTGGAGACTCTGCAAAAGTCAATTTGCTCTCCAAGTTTGCAACGCCAATGTACACCCTTGAGTTTTTGTGTTTTTGTATGGAAGACTTCGCAACTTTCAAGTGTCCACCGAAAGTTTGCAGCGCCAACGGCCACCGTGGAATTTGTGATAGGCTGTGCAAATGCCAAGGACACTGTAAGTTTGTAACGCCAGCCTCCACCCTTGAATTGTGGTAATTGTCTTTGTACGGCAGACTTTGCACATTTCAAGGACACTGCAAGTTTGTAACGCCAACGTCCACCCTTGCTTTTTTGTTTCTTGTATGGTAGGCTTCGAAAATTTCAACGACACTGCAAGTTTGTAACGCCAATGTCCACCCTTGATTTTCCGTATCTCTGTATGGTAGACGTTGCAAATTTCATTGTACAATACAAGTTTGTAACGCCAACGTCCACCCTCACAATTGCTTGTATGCTTGTAGGGTAGACTCTGCAAACTGTAAGGACACTGGAAGTTTGCAACGCCAACGTCCACGCCTGTTTTTGCATTTTTGTATGGCAGATTTTGCAAACCGTAAGGAAACTGTAGTGTTTGTAGCGCCAGCGTCCACCTTTTAGGTTCCATAGCTTTGTATGTCTTCGTAACGCAGACTTTGCAAACTTCGAGGACACTGTAAGGTTGTAACGCCAACGTCCTCCCTTGAGCTGTTATATCTTTGTACAGTAGACTTCGCAAATTTCAAATCGCGCTCCAAGTTTGTAACGCCAACGTCCACCGTTGATTCTGTAATTTTGTATCTTTGTATGGTAGCCTTTGCAAATTTCACTGTAAGTTTGTAACGCCAACGCCACCAACGTCCACCCTTGAATTTTTGTGTCTTTGTATGGTAGACTTTGCAAATTCCAAGGACACGGTAAGTTTGTAACGCCAACGTCCACCCTTGAATTTTGGAATGTTTGTACGGTAGACTTTGCAAATTTCAAGGACATTTCACGTTTGTAGCGCCAACGTCCACCCTTGGATTGTTTGTATCTCTGTATCCCCTTGATTCTAGGAGCCACTACACTTGATTGAAATTGTCGTTTGAGACTGGAAAGGCGAAGAGGATCCTTTAATTACATCTGTTGAATCCCAGGTCCAGACTTACTTCAAATCGGAGACTGGCGGCTTGCTGCAGCGAACTTCAACGCCTTCACAGTGGCGCAAATCGGCGGACAGGTCCACTTGAGAGGGTCCAAGGGTTGATGATATAAATCCTGCACGACCCATAAAAAGGAACATGCCATAATTCCCATAGTTTAGGGACAAAAAGGTAAGGCAGTATTTACATCATCAACCGAATCAATTCTTCGAAGCTAGACACCTGTAACACTGCGTCGGAGTTTTTGCAGTTTTGCCTGCGTCGCAACACCAAGACTTAGATCTCCATTCGTCGTGAGTTCATTGCGGCCACGCCATTCCTCGGTGTCAAGCTTTAGCATTCTTCGCGACAGAAAACAGCAGAACACTCTGTGCGACCGACCCAGTGCTGTTTTGCTTGTAGGTGAGCCCCCCACGATCCTGTCTCGACCACTTGACAGGCAAGCTCCTGTTGGCTAGGACTTTTGGTTGGAACTATTCTGCGACAGTTGATACACGGGATCCTGGCCACTTCCTGTCTTCCGACACGACCTGCCACAAGCAGCATACCAAACCCGTGATCGTGATCAGTCAACTGAGCAGACGAAGTCAGGCACACGTGAGAAAGCGCGCTTTTCGAATCCACCTTACAGCTTGAGCAGGCTCTTTGCCGCAAGCTTGCTGTCATTGATCAATGCCGCACAGGATGTCTATCAGTATCCGTTTCAGGCACACCAGTGTTCCTCACCCTGTAAGTGGGTTTCCTGATCTTAAGTCAATCCAGGACAAAACTTTGTGTATGCCTTTATTTCAAGGAATGAAGGAAATCATTGAAGTGACGGACGGACGGAATCGGGAGGAGAACAGCAGAAAGTCGTTTGCTATTAGTAGCGTGAGATTGTGAGGTACAGCTTGCCTCTAAAGCGAAGCCGATGCCCGAAGACATGCTAGTTCTCCGTAGCGACGCAGGCAGTAAGGTAAAAGCCGCAGTGTCCTTGATCACAGGTGTCATCTTTGACGGCCACTTCTCCCGGCCATGAGGCCTGGATAACAGATGTTTGCAGCTTGTTTGACTGTAGGTTCAATTGGAAAGATGCAATCCAGTCTGGATGGTTCAGTTCTCGGAAACAGTTGCACGGACAATGTTGATGCGGCAATTGCCTTGTGGCTGAAAAGCTCTCACTTTTGTCTGACTACGGCTGTCAAGGGGGCCTCAGCCGCTGTCGTTGAGCTGGGGACTCGGTCAGAAGCCTGCAAGCTGTTTTGTCCTGTGTAGTCGAGCGCACTCAAGTACCTTACCATGGAGTATTGAAGCAAGACTTTGTCGGCTTGTCGGCCCCAACCAACATGACGGTAGGCATGTGCTCGGCTGAGCGGAGCACGCATGAAGCGGGTGGATATTGCAGCCTGTAAGGGTGGAATTTTTGCCCGAGAGTTCAATCCTGAGACAGTGTCGAGTGTACGGCCTTGCGATGGCTTGGAAAGAGGTTGGGATCTTTTGGTGGGTCTTGCCACTCTTGGCATTGGCCCATACCGAAAGTGTGACGCAACAATGCGACAGCTGTTGTTCTGGGTTGAACCCAACTCAAGACTATTGCAAGTTTTGCCCAGAGGAGAAGCACAAGAAGGACAAGTGTGAGGCATCTCACCATCTGAGGAAACATAAGAAGAAAAGTTGCCTTGTGATCACTTCGGAGAGCCAATGCTGGAGTGCGGTTTGTCCTTGTGCCATGAGCAATTATGTGGGCAGCATCGCGCACAAAATCAAGCACAAGAATAAGGATGAAGCGGTGAAGATACCCCTGGTGACGCCCTATCCTGTCTACGGTGGCGGCGAGACCGGCATTTTTGATCTCGCAACTGGTTCTCCATTGAGTTCTTCAAGACAGGGTGGACCAGCTACCGGAGTGAAGATCGGTGCTGCTGGGGATTGGGGTAGTGGGACCTGCGAGGCCAACACGGTTGCCAACTTGATGTCTCAAGACACCCCAGACCTCACGTTTCACTTGGGAGATGTCTATTTTGTGGGTGATCAAGAGGACTTTCACTACAATGTCATGGGTATTGATCCTCCATCCTACCGTCAACAGAAAGGCGTGCTCTTTCCGAAAGGATCTCACACCACTTTCCTCATGGCTGGCAATCACGAGCAAATCAGTGGCATGAATGGCTTGGTTTATGCCGGCTACAAATACTCAGGTCAAAAAGCAAACTTTGGTGCCTGGTTTAGTGACCATTGGCGCTTCATCGCCCTTGACACTGGCTACCTTTGCATGCCTACACGTCCTGACGGTGAACGGATTTTGGGCAAAGAAACGCCTGCACCCCTGCCAAATGAAGTGGTGGAGTGGCTCAAGACCACGTTGAGTTTGGGTGATCCTACCGATAAACGTGGGATTGTGCTGATGAGCCATCATTTTCCCTACAGTGATTTTGAGAAGGCTTACCTTGGAGCTGCTCAACAGCTAAATGACATTTTGCCCGAGGACCGAACAATTGTTTGGTTTTTCGGCCATGAGCATCGTTTTGCACTGTATGAGAAGCTGAAGATCAAGGCCAACCACGAGAACTCGCGCTTGCTTGGGCATGCTAAGCACTTCACCTCCAAGTATGCCTTGTATGGTCGCATGGTGGGGAATGGTGGCTATCGAATTCATCCAGAAGCACCCAAGCGCCACAAGAAGAATTTGAAGATCAAAGCCTGGGATATGCGCACATATCAAGAGATTCCCCATGATCAGAAATTGGGATTCAATGGCTACTTCAAGGTTTTGGTGAACGGTGACCAGCTTTTGGTCACCTATGTTTCAGCCAAATGCAAGGATCCGTCGGCAGGTGGTTGCAATGCCGGTTACAACTTCACACATGGAGAAGTCTCGGCCAATGAGACCATCACTGTCCAACTGGATAGCGGGAACTTGACCCAGGAATGGCATTATGTGAATACGGACATCCTCAGCACAACGGGTGCCGCCACAGGCACCGAGGATCTCTGTGCTACTCCAATTCCATGGGACGCAGATCCCACGAAGCAAGGGGTGATTTACAATTCTGAGCACACCAGCATGGACTGAGGTTTTGGGCTAATCTTTTTCCGCGGTCCGAGTGCATTGCATTCTTTTGCTAAGCTTTTGATCTCTAGAAGTCACTCTCCGACTTCTTCAAAGAAAGGTGTAACATAGCATGCAGGCAGTGCGTCTCTTTTATTTGTACAGGCTCAAAATGAGACTCGGACCGTTTTTTTTACAAGCTCAAACTTTGAGACTTGGGCATCAGTTGCCGACACAGGGTCAGAGTTTTGAGACTACAATCACGTTCATTTGTACAGGTTGAACATGCTGAAGCTTGGATCTCAAACAACATAGTTGATGCTGACCTGGGGAGCTTCCTGTGTTCCAAGCCATCAGAGACGGAAACTTAACAGTCAGGACTTGCCCGCCCCTCCAAAGCGAAGCCGATGCCCAAAGAAATGCTAGTTCTCCGTAGCGAAGCAGGCAGCAAGGTAAAAGCCGCAGTGTGCCTGTTCACAGGCGTCATCTTTGACGGCCACTTCTCCAGGCCATGAGGCCTGGATAACAGATGTTTGCAGCATGTTTGACTGTAGGTTCAATTGGAAAGAGGCAATGCAGTCTGGATGGTTCAGTTCGTGAAAACAGTCGCACTGACAATGTTGATGCCGCAATTGCCTCGTGGCTGAAAAGCTTTCACTTTTGTCTGCATACGGCTGTCAAGGGGGCCTCAGCCGCTGTCGTTGAGCTGGGGACTCGGTCAGAAGCCTGCAAGCTGTTTTGTCCTGTGTAGTCGAGCGCACTCAAGTACCTTACCATGGAGTATTGAAGCAAGACTTTGTCGGCTTGTCGGCCCCAACCAACATGACGGTAGGCATGTGCTCGGGTGAGCGGAGCACGCATGAAGCGGGTGGATATTGCAGCCTGTAAGGGTGGAATTTTGGCCCGAGAGTTCAATCCTGAGACAGTGTCGAGTGCACGGCCTTGCGATGGCTTGGAAAGAGGTTGGGATCTTTTGGTGGGTCTTGCCACTCTTGGCATTGGCCCATACCGAAAGTGTGACGCAACAATGCGACAGCTGTTGTTCTGGGTTGAACCCAACTCAAGACTATTGCAAGTTTTGCCCAGAGGAGAAGCACAAGAAGGACAAGTGTGAGGCATCTCACCATCTGAGGAAACATAAGAAGAAAAGTTGCCTTGTGATCACTTCGGAGAGCCAATGCTGGAGTGCGGTTTGTCCTTGTGCCATGAGCAATTATGTGGGCAGCATCGCGCACAAAATCAAGCACAAGAATAAGGATGAAGCGGTGAAGATACCCCTGGTGACGCCCTATCCTGTCTACGGTGGCGGCGAGACCGGCATTTTTGATCTCGCAACTGGTTCTCCATTGAGTTCTTCAAGACAGGGTGGACCAGCTACCGGAGTGAAGATCGGTGCTGCTGGGGATTGGGGTAGTGGGACCTGCGAGGCCAACACGGTTGCCAACTTGATGTCTCAAGACACCCCAGACCTCACGTTTCACTTGGGAGATGTCTATTTTGTGGGTGATCAAGAGGACTTTCACTACAATGTCATGGGTATTGATCCTCCATCCTACCGTCAGCAGAAAGGCGTGCTCTTTCCGAAAGGATCTCACACCACTTTCCTCATGGCTGGCAATCACGAGCAAATCAGTGGCATGAATGGCTTGGTTTATGCCGGCTACAAATACTCAGGTCAAAAAGCAAACTTTGGTGCCTGGTTTAGTGACCATTGGCGCTTCATCGCCCTTGACACTGGCTACCTTTGCATGCCTACACGTCCTGACGGTGAACGGATTTTGGGCAAAGAAACGCCTGCACCCCTGCCAAATGAAGTGGTGGAGTGGCTCAAGACCACGTTGAGTTTGGGTGATCCTACCGATAAACGTGGGATTGTGCTGATGAGCCATCATTTTCCCTACAGTGATTTTGAGAAGGCTTACCTTGGAGCTGCTCAACAGCTAAATGACATTTTGCCCGAGGACCGAACAATTCTTTGGTTTTTCGGCCATGAGCATCGTTTTGCACTGTATGAGAAGCTGAAGATCAAGGCCAACCACAAGAACTCGCGCTTGCTTGGGCATGCTAAGCACTTCACCTCCAAGTATGCCTTGTATGGTCGCATGGTGGGGAATGGTGGCTATCGAATTCATCCAGAAGCACCCAAGCGCCACAAGAAGAATTTGAAGATCAAAGCCTGGGATATGCGCACATATCAAGAGATTCCCCATGATCAGAAATTGGGATTCAATGGCTACTTCAAGGTTTTGGTGAACGGTGACCAGCTTTTGGTCACCTATGTTTCAGCCAAATGCAAGGATCCGTCGGCAGGTGGTTGCAATGCCGGTTACAACTTCACACATGGAGAAGTCTCGGCCAATGAGACCATCACTGTCCAACTGGATAGCGGGAACTTGACCCAGGAATGGCATTATGTGAATACGGACATCCTCAGCACAACGGGTGCCGCCACAGGCACCGAGGATCTCTGTGCTACTCCAATTCCATGGGACGCAGATCCCACGAAGCAAGGGGTGATTTACAATTCTGAGCACACCAGCATGGACTGAGGTTTTGGGCTAATCTTTTTCCGCGGTCCGAGTGCATTGCATTCTTTTGCTAAGCTTTTGATCTCTAGAAGTCACTCTCCGACTTCTTCAAAGAAAGGTGTAACATAGCATGCAGGCAGTGCGTCTCTTTTATTTGTACAGGCTCAAAATGAGACTCGGACCGTTTTTTTTGACAGGCTCAAAGTTTGAGACTTGGGCATCAGTTGCCGACACAGGGTCAGAGTTTTGAGACTACAATCACGTTCATTTGTACAGGTTGAACATGCTGAAGCTTGGATCTCAAACAACATAGTTGATGCTGACCTGGGGAGCTTCCTGTGTTCCAAGCCATCAGAGACGGAAACTTAACAGTCAGGACTTGCCCGCCCCTCCAAAGCGAAGCCGATGCCCAAAGAAATGCTAGTTCTCCGTAGCGAAGCAGGCAGTAAGGTAAAAGCCGCAGTGTGCCTGTTCACAGGCGTCATCTTTGACGGCCACTTCTCCAGGCCATGAGGCCTGGATAACAGATGTTTGCAGCATGTTTGACTGTAGGTTCAATTGGAAAGAGGCAATGCAGTCTGGATGGTTCAGTTCGTGAAAACAGTCGCACTGACAATGTTGATGCCGCAATTGCCTCGTGGCTGAAAAGCTCTCACTTTTGTCTGCATACGGCTGTCAAGGGGGCCTCAGCCGCTGTCGTTGAGCTGGGGACTCGGTCAGAAGCCTGCAAGCTGTTTTGTCCTGTGTAGTCGAGCGCACTCAAGTACCTTACCATGGAGTATTGAAGCAAGACTTTGTCGGCTTGTCGGCCCCAACCAACATGACGGTAGGCATGTGCTCGGGTGAGCGGAGCACGCATGAAGCGGGTGGATATTGCAGCCTGTAAGGGTGGAATTTTTGCCCGAGAGTTCAATCCTGAGACAGTGTCGAGTGTACGGCCTTGCGATGGCTTGGAAAGAGGTTGGGATCTTTTGGTGGGTCTTGCCACTCTTGGCATTGGCCCATACCGAAAGTGTGACGCAGCAATGCGAGAGCTGTTGTTCTGGGTTGAACCCAACTCAAGACTATTGCAAGTTTTGCCCAGAGGAGAAGCACAAGAAGGACAAGTGTGAGGCATCTCACCATCTGAGGAAACATAAGAAGAAAAGTTGCCTTGTGATCACTTCGGAGAGCCAATGCTGGAGTGCGGTTTGTCCTTGTGCCATGAGCAATTATGTGGGCAGCATCGCGCACAAAATCAAGCACAAGAATAAGGATGAAGCAGTGAAGATACCCCTGGTGACGCCCTATCCTGTCTACGGTGGCGGCGAGACCGGCATTTTTGATCTCGCAACTGGTTCTCCATTGAGTTCTTCAAGACAGGGTGGACCAGCTACCGGAGTGAAGATCGGTGCTGCTGGGGATTGGGGTAGTGGGACCTGCGAGGCCAACACGGTTGCCAACTTGATGTCTCAAGACACCCCAGACCTCACGTTTCACTTGGGAGATGTCTATTTTGTGGGTGATCAAGAGGACTTTCACTACAATGTCATGGGTATTGATCCTCCATCCTACCGTCAACAGAAAGGCGTGCTCTTTCCGAAAGGATCTCACACCACTTTCCTCATGGCTGGCAATCACGAGCAAATCAGTGGCATGAATGGCTTGGTTTATGCCGGCTACAAATACTCAGGTCAAAAAGCAAACTTTGGTGCCTGGTTTAGTGACCATTGGCGCTTCATCGCCCTTGACACTGGCTACCTTTGCATGCCTACACGTCCTGACGGTGAACGGATTTTGGGCAAAGAAACGCCTGCACCCCTGCCAAATGAAGTGGTGGAGTGGCTCAAGACCACGTTGAGTTTGGGTGATCCTACCGATAAACGTGGGATTGTGCTGATGAGCCATCATTTTCCCTACAGTGATTTTGAGAAGGCTTACCTTGGAGCTGCTCAACAGCTAAATGACATTTTGCCCGAGGACCGAACAATTCTTTGGTTTTTCGGCCATGAGCATCGTTTTGCACTGTATGAGAAGCTGAAGATCAAGGCCAACCACAAGAACTCGCGCTTGCTTGGGCATGCTAAGCACTTCACCTCCAAGTATGCCTTGTATGGTCGCATGGTGGGGAATGGTGGCTATCGAATTCATCCAGAAGCACCCAAGCGCCACAAGAAGAATTTGAAGATCAAAGCCTGGGATATGCGCACATATCAAGAGATTCCCCATGATCAGAAATTGGGATTCAATGGCTACTTCAAGGTTTTGGTGAACGGTGACCAGCTTTTGGTCACCTATGTTTCAGCCAAATGCAAGGATCCGTCGGCAGGTGGTTGCAATGCCGGTTACAACTTCACACATGGAGAAGTCTCGGCCAATGAGACCATCACTGTCCAACTGGATAGCGGGAACTTGACCCAGGAATGGCATTATGTGAATACGGACATCCTCAGCACAACGGGTGCCGCTACAGGCACCGAGGATCTCTGTGCTACTCCAATTCCATGGGACGCAGAT